GGTTTTGGGTCTTTTTCTTTTTTTTTCTTTTTTTTTTCTTTTTTTCTTGTTTTTTTTTGGGGGGTTGGGGGGTTTTTTCTGTCTTTTTTGTTGTTCTTCGGAGGGGTTTTTTGTTCCAAGGAAATGGCGGCAATGGCGGCATTGAACTACACCTCCCAGCGTGCACCGCGGCGCCCCGTGACGTCCCGCCTCCCATTGGCCCAGCCCCGCCCAGGGGCGTGTCCCTCCTCGCGTGTCTCTAAAGCGGGAGCGCCGGGCCGGGGCCGCTGCTCGGAGCGCGATTGGTCGGTGGCGCCGCCCTTGGCGGGCGGTGATTGGCGGAGCGCGCGGGGGCGTGGCCGCGGCCATGATGGCGGGCGAGGCGGGAGCCGGGCCCAGGGGAAGGTGGCGGCGGCCGAGGGGGGACCGGGACCGTGACCCGGGACCGGCCGCAGCCCCGGCGCCCTCTCAGCCCTTGCAGGACCTGACCGGCAATGGCGGGGTGCGCAAGGAGCAGCTGCGCCCCGGCACCGGGCAGCTCGTGCCGCCGTCCGCCTCCGTGGCAGGTACAGCCGGGCCTGGGGAGCCGGAGCCTCCCGTGGGCCGCGAGAGGGTCACCGGGTGCCCAGAGAAGCTGTGGCTGCCCCACTCCTGGAAGTGTCCAGGGGCAGGCTGGACGGGGCTTAGGGCACCCTGGGCTCGTGGGAGGTGTCCGTGCCCATGGCAGTGGTGGGATGATCTCATTTTCCGTGGTCTTTGATGTCCCTTCCAACCCGAGCCGTTCCATGATTCCCGCAGCCCCTCGGGGCTCTGTGTCCCCCTCCTGGTGCTGGGTCCTGCCTGAGCTCAGCTTGGCCACCCCGGGGAGTTAATTGTGGTGTTCAGCAGCACCGTGGTGCCCGAATTCATGGGTACATCAGGCCCCTGAGCAGCTTTTAAACAGCACTTAATAAGTTTAGTCTGCGTTCACCAGGGCTAAAAGCTTAAACTCCTTGGCAGTGTGAGCTGGAGTGAGGGTGTGGTGCCCATCCGTGTGCCCTGTGTCTCAGTGCCAGGTTTGGTTGGGGTGGCAGGGCCGGAGGAAGGTGCTGGGGGAGACAAAGAGGGCAGAGCCTGTTGTGGAAGAGCCCCAAGCCTGTTATGTTGAGGTGCTGGTGGCTGGCAAAGACCAGAACAGGCACTTCAAAGTGCTGTGTCTTTCTGTTTTGGAGACTGTCTGTTCTCCTTATCAGTGTTTTAGCACTTGGGATACCCTGTGTAACTTCTTGTGGCTGACAGATTAAAGGAAAGGGCATCTTGACCTTGAGGAAAAGCAAGATTTCCAGGGCCCACCTGTGCTCACAGAGAAGTTTGAAGCTGGAATTGGTTCCTGAAGTGGTTTCAGGGCTGGTGCTGGATCAGGGAACACCCATTACAGTGTGTTTTTTAACTGAGGAGACCTGGAGTCACAGATTCACAGGTTGGAGGGTATGTTTTCCCCTTTGTTCCTCTCTCTCCAGGTCTCCAGCTTTGGTTAGGGAATGCTTTGTTAAGTATTTCTGTAGATAACTGGGGCATTTTAATTTGCTCAGCTGAAGTTTCCAATTCTTAAAAGCACAAAAATCACATCTCTTAATTAGCTCAGGAGTGTTAAGCAGCTGCTTTGTCTGGGGATGTTGTTAAAACACACAGCACCGCTGGGCTGCTTGAATGGCACCAGGTTTTTGGTGTAGAACACAAGGGTTTGTGCTGCCTCTGCTGTTCCACACCAGAAGGAAAAAAGCAGGAAAAAAGAGTGTTGCACATCCAGCCCTGAGTGTGCTCCTGGTGTTGCTGTCACTGGATGTGAAACCAAACTCTTGCTTTTCTCTTCTCCCCACTCCTCCCTTTACACAGTGAAGTACTCTGGGTACCTGGGAAACTGGAATAACCCCTTCTGTTCCTATGGGCACGGCAAGTATCCAAAGCTGATGAAACTTGGAAGAGGTAGGTTTGAGCCACAAAGTTGGTCCTGGGGCTCGGGATTGTGTTGAGACATTTTGGGGCTCGGGGTTGTGTTGAGACATTTTGGGGCTCGGGATTGTGTTGAGACATTTTGGGGCTCGGGATTGTGTTGAGACATTTTGGGGCTCGGGATTGTGTTGAGACATTTTGGGGCTCGGGATTGTGTTGAGACATTTTGGGGCTCGGGGTTGTGTTGAGACATTTTGGGGCTCGGGATTGTGTTGAGACATTTTGGGGCTCGGGGTTGTGTTGAGACATTTCAATTCAAATGCTTTTTGGTGCCTTTAGGTTGTTTGAAACCTTAAAAGGTTGTCAGTGGAGCCCAAAATGCCCGTGGTTCAGATGGGAGAGGGAATGTGCACCTGTAACCCTCTGCCCAGGAGGGGCAGGGAGGTGTTTCCCACCTGTTTGAAATCACCAGAGAGGAGATGCTGTTCTTTTCCAGGCTGGATGGGGCTTGGAGCACCCTGGCCTAGTAGGAGCTGTCCCTGCTCATGGCAGGGGTTGGGCTGGATGATCTCTAAGGTCCCATCCCACCCAGACCACCCTGGATCTGTGATACCTTGTGCTTGGCCCCTCAGCCTGATAATCCACCGCGGAGCCGCTGACGCGGGAGCTCCCAAGGAGTTCTTTCCTTCAGGCTTTGGGAAAACTCATTGCTCGGCGTGTGAGGGGGGTTTGGTGGCCGTGAGCCTCACCCCTGGCACCCCTGGTTGTGGCAGACATCACGCTGTGGGGGCTGGAGCTGGGGCTGATGTCCATGGCCCGGGGCGAGGTGGCGCGGTTCTGGTTCAGCCCCAAGTACGCGTACGGCCCGCGGGGCTGCCCCCCTCACATCCCCCCGGACACCACCGTGCTCTTCCACGTTGAGCTGCTGGACTTCATCGACTCGGAGGAGTGCGACGTGTTCTTCGAGCTGAGTGACGTGAGTCCCCTTAGTAAGGTTTGGGAACGACACACACGGGGCGGGGGTCGTTGTCCTGCCCTGTCCTTGCCCTGCCCTGTGGTTTTCGTGGCTCCTGGTTATGTTTGAGGGGAATGGAAAAAACATCCAGAGTCCCTGCCCTCTGTGTCCCTCCCGGTGCGGGTGCTGCCTTTGTTTGCTCCTCTGGGCTGGAAGGAGTCGGTGGAACTGCTCCTGGTTATTTTTAGCTTTACCAGAAACCTCATGTTTACAACTAGAGGGCACCAGCTTCCAGGAATTCCTCTAAGGAGCAGGAAGGAGCCGTCTGTAACAATCCTGCTCAGTCCCAGTGCCCCCTCCAGCCCCCACCCTTTTGTCCCAGCCTCTTGGCTGCTCTCCCAAGTGCTCCTTCCCTGTTCTTCCCTCCCTGGTGAGTTACGGTGTTATTGTTAATTCCCCTTTTCATGTCAAGGGCTTTGGGCTGTGGCTGTGGGTCAGTGAGTGGGGGCAGAGGCTGATGGGGGAGCCTCTCCTGCCCCTCTCCTGCCCCCAGCACAGGCTGATTTTTTCCCCCACAGCCCTGTGAGGAAACCACACTTGTAGCACTCCCTCCTTGCCCACCCTTTCTGGCTGACTGACCTCTCTCTGTGTGCTGGTTCCAACTTACAGACCCAGGACAAAACCTGTCCCTCCATTTTTATCCTTTTTTATGATTCTTGGGGCTTTTTTTTTTTTTTTTTTGCTGGTTGGTGTCTCTTGGGGGGCTGTCAGGCTGTCCCAGAGCTGCCCTGAGAGCAATTGGAGCAGCAGAGCCTTTCAAGCAGCTTTGTGCCAGTGACAGCATTTGTGTTAACTCAGCTGTGTGCTGAGAGAGTTGGGCAGGATTTAAGGGCACATTCCTGCTTTTTTCAGCCCTACTGTGGGCCTGGGGAGCTTCCTGACCTCTTCATCAGGAATTACCAGCACAAAAAGTTTCAGCCTGACTGGGGAGATGCCACATGGTGATGGCCTGGCCTTGGCAAGGGCCTGGCTGCTGCTTTGTGAATAAGAGGGGGCTGTGCAGGGCTGTCCTGTCTGGGCTCTGTGCTTGTTTCCTTTTGTTTGAGCTGAAATTCAGGTATTTCTTTCCCCAGGCACAGAAGGACACGTTTCCTCTAGAGAAGGTGTTGAAAGTGGCAGCCACGGAGAAAGAGTTTGGCAACTACTTCTTCCATAAGCAGAACTTTGGGGTTGCCAAGCACAGATACAAAAGGGTATGGAGCCAGGAAAAGGCGGGATGTGCTTTGGGAAAAGCTGTGGAAGCAGGGATTGTTGTTAGCTCACCACAGCAGGTACAGGTTAGAGAGCAAATAACTTCATTGTCTCTTCCCAGGCATAGTTTGGTATCGAAGAACAGGGCTTGGGCACCTGGTTTTGTGGAGGCAGCTGTGGTGAATGAGGGAATAGAGTCACAGAGTCCTTAGGGTTGGGAAAGCCCTTTGAGATCATTGACTCCAACCATCCCCCAGCACTGCCAAGGCCACCACTAACCCATGTCCCCAAGTGCCACATCCACACATCTGTTAAATCTCTCCAAGGATGGGGACTCCACCACTGCCCTGGACAGCTGTGCCAGGGCTGGACAACCCTTTCCATGAAGAAATTCTCCCTAAAATCCAACCTAAACCTCTCCTGCAGTTGCCTCCTGCAACTTGAGGCCTTTTCCTCTTGTTCTGCCCCTTGTTCCCTGGGAGCAGAGCCCAACCCCCCTGGTTCCACTCTCCTGTCAGGGATTTGGAGAGAGTGAGAAAGTCCCCCCTGAGCCTCCTTTTCTCCAGGCTGAGCCCCCCCAACTCCCTCTCCTGACATGGAAATGCTCAGTTATTCCCAAACTGGAATGCATCTGCCACAGTTCCAGAGGTGGTAAAGATTCAGGGTTGCTTTTCCTTGCTATTTTTGAAACAAAATTAATTTAACTTGCCTTTGTCCCTGTAACATTTCTCTTCCATGTTTGTCCTTAAAATCTGAGTCCTGGATGTAATTTTCTTTTCATTCTGCTGCTTTCAAGTTCCTTGATCAGCTCCTAAACCCGTGGCCACGTGGCTGAGCTGAGAATGCCACGTGCTATTTACAGTTCTGATTGTTATTACTTTTAGCTGACTGAGGTGAGCAGAAACATGGGTGTGGCTGTTGGATGAGGTGGATTCCTCACTTTCCAGCAGGGATTTGTTGTGCACTGGTTGTTTTTTCCCCCTCTCTGCTCAGGCTCTCTCCATCCTGGATCGCAGCTGTTCCAGCGAGGCCGAGCGGAGCCAGATCAACACTTCCAAGGTGCCTCTGCTCCTGAACCTCTCCCTCACTTACCTGAAACTGGAATGTCCTGAGCGAGCTTTGAAATACGGGAAGAAAGCCTTGGAGGTGGACCAGGGAAATGTCAAAGCCCTGTTCAGGTGTGGCCAGGTGGGCACAAAGAAATCCTTCTGGTTTTATCATCCCGGAACCCCCCGGCCTGGCTGTGGAGGGAACCCCTGAATTCTGGTGGTTTGGCTGCACCTGCCCCTTCCCTCTGGGAGTCTGTCACCTGGAGCTTCTCCTGGGGGGTTCCTGAGCTACCTGGCTCTGTCTCAGGAGTGTTTGTTGTTGAGTCCTGAAGAAGGGCAGTGAGTCTGTATTTACCTTGCAATGCACCCGTCTTCTTCCCAGGCTTGTCTCTGCATGAAGGAATACAGCAAATCCCGGGATTTCCTGACTAGAGCCCAGCAAATCCAGCCCTTCAACCGTGACATCAACAACGAGCTGAAGAAGTGGGCAAGGTGAGAGCCCTCCTTTCCATCCCTGGAGGGCTTAGATGGGCTGGAACACCCATTCCAAAACATTTAAACTGTTAAAAAAAAAAAAAAAACAAAACCAAACACCAAACTGTTGGGTTAGTGAGTGACTTGGGAAAAGGCAGGTGGGGAAAACTGCTTGAAGCATTTTTGAGGCACAGCAGCTGCAGGTGAGGAGCTGGGAGCAACCACCCTTTCCATACAGTTGCTTTGGTGGGATGGGAGCAGGTAAGGATGAGGACAGGGATGTGGGGGCTGCCAAAATGCCTCAAACCCAGTGGATTTAGCTCAGTTGGTTAGAGCTTGGTGCTAATAATGCCAAGGTTGTGGGTTCAGTGTCTGGAGGGGTCAGTCAGTGAAGAGTTGGACTTGAAGATCCTTGTGGGTCCCTTCCAACTCGGAATATTCTGTGACTCTGTGAAATGCAGTTGGCTGGACCTCCAGCTGATCATGTCCTGGATTAATGAGTATGATTTTGATTCCCTTTAAGACGTGTTGGTTAATCACAGCAGCTTTTCTGCACTGCAAGTGCTTCAGTGCACAATGCTGCAAATACTGCTGTTTGTTAAAAGTGAATTTCTTGCTGGCTTAGAGGTAATAAGTGAGCAGCCCTGAAGGCAAACTCTACCTTCACCCTCAGGCTGAGTACAGGACAACCCTGCCAGCTTTAGTCATGGCCCAGCCCCACCAAAACATGAGTAATGCTTGTCTCTGCCCTCATTCTGCTCTTCCTTTGAAACTGCCAGAAGCACCAACTAGTTCCCAAAAGTATGTGCTGTCCTGGCACTGTTCACAGGGGCAGGAGTGATGCCATGCCCAGCTCCAGAGCTCACAAAGCAGCCCTGGAATACGAACCCCCTTTTGTGTGTCGCTGCCAGGCACTTGCAGAAAGGTTTGTAGGCAGCAACAACATCTAAAAAGAATGGCTGGTGCTGCTGGAAAAGCCAGTCTGGAGGGCTGAGTGCCTTCTCCAGGGAATGTTCTGGTGCAGAGCTGTTCTGTCACATCAGTGTCCTGTGTATCCACATCATCTTTGACAGTCTGTGATGACACCAAGTCTTCAAACTTGTTCTGTTACTTCTGAAGCACAAAGAGCTCGAAGGCAGGATTAGCTGTTGGTGTGGAAATTTGAAATAAAGCCCTTGTATTCATCCAGATCTCCCTCTGGGTGTGGAGCTCCCAGACTGTGAGGTGAGGGCAGGGAGTTCTGCACTAGATCTGGCTGCTCTTGGAGGTTGGGTCGTGTTCAGGGCTGGAAGGCCTCATTCTAGAAGCCTCTTGTGTTCCCTTAGGTTTGTTTGAAATATGTTGGCAGGTAAAAGAGGAATCTTGCTGACAGTGTTGAGGTGGTGCTGCCAGGAAGCAACAAGGCATTTGTGCCTCTGTCTGCTCCAGCTCTGGAGGGAGCAGCACCTACAGCCAAAGGTGTGTCAGAGCTGAGTGTGCATTAAACCACTGTTGTCCTGCAGTTCCTGCTTCAGTGCCTGGTAAAATTGGTGTATTTTTTGTTTTTAACCATAGAATGGATTGGGTTGGGTGGGACCTTTAAAGCCCATCCAGTCCTACCCTCTGCCATGGGCAGGGACACCTTCCACTAGCCCAGGTTGCTCCAAACCCCATCCAGCTTGGCCTTGGACACTTCCAGGGATCCAGGGGCAGCCACAGCTTCTCTGCCCAACCTGTGCCAGGACCTCCCCACCCTCACACCCAACAATTCCTTCCCAACATCCCATCCAACCCTGCCCTCTGGCAGTTTGAAGCCTTTCCCCCTTGTCCTGTCCCTCCATCCCTTGTCCCAAGTCCCTCTCCAGCTCTCCTGGAGCCCCTTTAAGCCCTGGAAGGGGCTCTCAGGTGTCCCTGGAGCCTTCTCTTCTCCAGGTGAACACCCCCAGTTCTCCCAGCCTGGCTCCAAGCAGAGAGGCTTCAGCTCTTGGAGTATCTCTGTGGCCTCCTCTGGACTTGCTCCAGCAGGTTCAAGTCCTTCCTGTGCTCAGGACCCCAGAGCTGGAGGCATCTCTGCAGGTGGGATCTTTTACCACTGGCAAAGAGTGGAATTAGTAAGAAATAGATGAAGCCAGTGTTAATTGGGTGTTGTTAATGAGGCCTTACCTCAAGCTCCATCTGGAATGTTGCCTTTGCCTGAGAAAACTTGCAGTGTGATCTGGCAAATGCTTCAGAAATTGGAGTACGGATCAAAATCCTGTTTTTAGAGGCTTTTCACTTCCTTACTGGGTACATTTATCTTCTGCTAAGAGGAATGTCATGTTAATCAGCAGCTCCCTTTTGCTGTCTGAAACAAAGCTTTGGAAAGCATCTGTTTACCAACTGAACCAAGTTCTTGGCAAAATTCACTTCCCTGGAGAAAAGGCAGAATCCAGGGTGAGGGGCATGTGGAATGTGTGCCTGGTACCAGCTGTGGTGGTCTTGGTGCAAATTCTGCTGCTGGATTTGGGAATTCTGTTGGAAGGCTTGTGTTGCATCAAATCCGGGATGAAGTGGGGCCGTTCCAATGTCTGGCATGAATCTGCCCCTCCAAACAAGGGGCTCTTGGATTTCCTGCTGTGGCTGGTGTGGGAATGTGCCATCCACAGATGGGCATCCACGATCTGCTCAGCCACGTCTGTCTGAGCCTTACCAGGAGAGATTTGCTGTGCTGGGATTTCACTTCACCAAACCTTCTGAGGGCTCTGGGCCCAGAGGTGCTGAGGGCAGGGCTGGGAGAGCTGGAGCCACCCTGGGGCTGGTTCTGCCGTGTTGCACAAAAACCTTTTGCTTTTGGCCTTATATGGCAGCAGATGCAGGAAAACTGACCCTGTGGGCAGGCACTGCTCCCTGGGACAGCTCCCAAACTGAGTCACCCTGTGGCTCAGGGATTCCTCACCGGTGAGGTGAGAGCACAGGGAGCAGGGGATGCTGTGCCTGGATAAGCAGGGATTCAAATGGAGCAGGCTGGGAAGCTTCTGCTTTTTTGAAGCGAGAACAGAGGAGGGAACATCTGCCTTGTCATCCACTTAGTCCTGACACAAATCCCTGCTGTCCCCTGCCCATCCTGTGTCCATGGTGGATATCCTGGTGTAGGGCACTCAGGCAATATCTCCTGGGTGCTGAAGGAGCTCCCCCAGGGAGACACAAAACTATCCCACAGCACACAGGTGGGGTTCCTCTGCACTGTCCCACACTTCCAAAACTGGGGTAGAAATCATCTGGCTCCCAAAAGGCAAATAAATGATTTAAGTTGGATTAGAAAGCTATGTCTCTACCAGTAAAGCAGATACCCAAGATCTGAGGAGGAGGCACAACATTTCCAGCTCTTCTTCCCTGACGTGGCAGAGAGAAGGACTTGGATGAGCTGTGTCTGTGCTGCAAACACACTGTTACATCAGGCTAATGTATTTGTGTAGAAAAGTAATATTCTACAGAAAAAATAAGCTCTGTTTTTGGGTTGTGGCCCTGGCAGTCCCCAGCCCCTGATGCCATCCTGTCTCTGCTCTGCAGGTGCTACGAGGAGTACGTGGAAACGGAGAAGGACATGTGCTGCAGAATGTTTGACAGCTCTTGTGGCTGAGCAGGAATCAAGGTAACCAGGCTGTGGGGAAAAAAAAGGCTGAGCTCTCCCCAAACCTCTGTGCTGTGTTCTCAGGTGGGGAACCTGCTTCTCTTCTGCGTGGGAGGGTCTTGGAGGCAAAGTGGAAGGTGAAGGGGAAGGGCGGGATGGTGGAATGTTGCTGCATCATCAGCTCGGGGAATTTTTCCTGGGACAGGGACCTGGAACTGCCAGGAGTTGAGTAAGTTTGGTTTGTTGTTTCCTGTGCTGCTTATCCCAGCTATTCCTGCTCAGAGCCAGGGGGGAGGAATAGCTCTGTAGTCTTGTTTCTCTGCCAATTAAAAGAAACAAAAAAAAAAATTGTTCCTGTCAAACTTAAGAATTGGATTTCCTCCTCCCCTCCAGCTCTCCTGTCTGGAGCTGTTGGAATGCCTCACTTCAGAAAAATCTAAATATTTTATTTCTGGTTTGGTTTTTTTGTTTTGTTTTTTGGGGTTTTTTTTAAATATTAAAAAACCTGTTTGGAGAAAAAATTTCAAATGGCTGTTTTGGACTCTTTAAAGCCTTAAATCTTCCAGCAAAATTGACGGGTTTATAAATGCACAAAGGCTCTTTGATCATTCTTTTTTTTTTTTTTCCTTTTTTTGTCAAAACCTTCAGGGGGGTACAAGGGGGGGGGAGTGGAAATCTTTTCTGGTCTCTTGCTTTGGGGTAAACCCAAGGGAAGGAGTTGTGGAAAATGACAGCAGCCTTCTGTCAGGAAGCATCCCCAGCTCGGGGCCGTCACTTTGCTGCTGTTTTCTCTCTCTCCTGAAGCACAGGCAGCACCTCCTTGCTTGCAGAAAATGAATATTGGCAGCCTTTCCATCAGTGCAGTGGTGTTTTTTAAGCTTGGCTCTTTTGTCTGTGCTTGTGAGGGAGTTAAGGCAGTGTTCGAGGAAGAGGTTGGGTCCTAAAAGAACACAACCCTCTCCTGGCTGGATGTGCCTCTTTTTGTAACCTCTACCCTTCCTGCTGCCCCTGTGCCTTGGGCCAAGCTGAGTGTGTGGCCTCAGAGCACAAATCCTTCTGCCCTGGCTGTGGGATGACACTGGTGACACCTGTCACAGGTACCTGCCCCAAGAAAGGAGCTCTGAAAGGGGATTTAAGGCTGACGAGGTCTTGTGCAGGAAATCTGTGGCTCTGGGCTTGGCAAGAGGCTCTGCTTCTCCACTTGCTGAAGTCCAGTTTGGAAGCCTGTAGGACCTTGGGTCTCATTCCTGATGGGAATGAGCTTCCCTGACCTGGGAAGCTTTTTGTGTGGCTCTGGGCATCAGCTTGGCCCTGCTTTGTGGTGGGAGTCTGAGGGATTGTGGTGATCTGGGGCACCACACGGGTCCTCCCCTGGGAAGGTTCTGTGGCCTCTTGTTTCCCAAAAAGTGGCTTGTGAAGGTGGTGATTTCCACAGAGCTGGTGGAAGTAAACCAGTGGGTTTGGTTAGGGGAGACTGAGAAGTACAAAGGGAAAGGGAAAAGGAGACACTTCTGTAGGGCTGAGCTTAAGGATTGGGCTGAACTCATCAGCCAGAGTTTATCCACTGACCCCAGTGTGTGGAGTTCTCCCACCTTACACAGCTTGGAAGTTGATTTTAGTTGCAGCATTAAAAATAGACCAAGTCTCCCAGACAAACATAAATCACCAAGACCTAAACAGGATTCTGCTGTTCATTCATGGCAAGAGAAGTCCCTTTGCTGGAGGAGGTTCCTGCAGGGCCTTTGAGCTGGAGGTTGGGCTGCTGCTTTAAAACCTCATTACACATTCAGAGAGGAGCAAAGCAGTTCCAGCAGGAGCTCCTGCTCCCTGTCAAAGGCACTGGGAATTAGTCAGGGTGGAAGCAGAACGTTCTTTAGTGTTTTCTGACAGCCTTGTACCAGTTTAGGGCACAAGCTGTACTGGGGCAGTCTGGCTCCATCCCTTCTGTGTAAGGCACTGAGTGAGGAGATGGCCTGGGAGTGCCATGGTTGATGATCCAGTGGAATCACAATAGTTATGAAAAACTTTCCTGCATACCAGCTGGCAGGTGCTTGTGGAGCACTGAGCTGACCCGTGGTCCAGCTCCCAAATGTCTTGGAGCTGTAGCTGTGGCTTTTCCTCCCTCCTGGAACACTGCTGCATCCCTCCCCTGCCTCAGAGCTCCTTCCTGGGTGCTGTGCCTTTGGGGAGTCCTGCTCTGCTGCAGGGACAAGGTTCATTCTTCTGCACTGAATAACCCAGGGCTGTGTTGTACGTTTTGTACAACTGCACCCAAACCTGGGCACACCTGAGCATCCTCCTGCCTGGTGTCTTTGCAAGGGATTTTGCGGTGATAGGACGAGGGAGAACGGTTTTAAGCTGAAAGAGGGGAGATTTACATTGACTATTAGGAAGAAATCCTTCCCTGGGAGGGTGGTGAGGCCCTGGCACTGGTTGCCCAGAGAAGCTGTGGCTGCCCCATCCCTGCAAGTGTCCAGGGCCAGCTTGGACAGGGCTTGGAACAACCTGGGCTAGTGGAAGGTGTCCCTGCCCATGGAACAATATGATCTTTAAGGTTCCTTCCAAGCCAAAGCATTCCATCATTTGTGTCCTTCTCCCTGTAGAGTCCAGTTCCTCAAATTGCTACAAACAACATCTTGCTCAGAACACAATTCTCACCTTTTTAATGCAGTTTGTGGTCAAAATAGATCTTTTCTTTGGTGAAATGCAAGGCTGCTCGTGGTACTTCCTGGGGGAATTTGGGAATACTCAGAGGGAAATATAGAGGCACAAACACTTTCTTAAATCCATCCTGCTGCAGTTCCTTGGAAATGTCTTGTGTCCCTGCTTGTCCCTCTCTGGGTTTGGGGTATTTACCTGCCTCTGTCCCCTCTGTGTGCTGCAGGTGTGTCAAGCCCAGTTTCCTGGGATGTGCCGAGCTGGAAGTCGTCCTTGGTGTCCCCAAAGCTGCAGGATGGTGGGCTGAGGCCTGCTGGCTTATGGGAGCTTTTGGTGGTTGTTTGAAAGACCCAGCAGTTAAAAACAAAAAGGAATTTATCATTGTATTACTGTGGTCCTTCATTGTAAGAGATCTAAATCATGAGGAGTGGGGACAAATTCCTTAGGAATGTCTGGGTTCTAGTAGAGGCTCCTTGGTGATACTTTTGTCCCAGAAAGATGAGCATTTGAGCTTTTTTTTTTTTTTTCATTATAGGTGAGCCAAAGTTGAAAGCTTGTCTCTAATGTGCACCTCAGCTCAGTACACAGGAGAAGTGGTCCCAGGAGTTGGGAGCACACGGGGAAATGTTCCAGTGCAAACAAACAGGGCTGAAATTATGGCAGGAAACAGTAACTCTGAGGTCAAACTTGTGATTGCCATGAATAGCAAGTCCTACCAATTCTGAAGGCATTAATGGGTGAGAATTGGCTGTAGAACTGGGGCTGTGTCACCAGGTAGAAGTGACTATAATTGGGTTTAAAATCAGCAGCAGTTGCCAGTTAAACTGACCTAATAAGCTGAAAGAGACTTGCAAATAAACGGAGTCTGTGCATAAAACAAAGTCCTGCCTTGGGAAAGCTCCAGACTTGGAGTAAACAGCAACTTGCTCCTTCCCCTCCTGCTCTGGTTGTTCCTGGGATCTGAAATGTGCCTCCTGCTGAGCCTGTCCCTCCCCACTGCTGAGCAACACAGAACCAGCGATTCACTGCTCCTTTAGAATATGCAAATTCCTGTCCCACAGAGGTGTCCTGTGCTGCAAAGGAAATTGTTAAATCTCTGCTTTCTGCTGAGCCTGGCTGGGCGAGGGGGAAGGCTTGAAGGAGGACTTAATTAAGCATTCTCCTTGTTAAGCAGAGGAAGGAGAAAAGCTTTTAATGAGGTGGTTGGGTTGGGGTTTTTTGTTTTCCCTCCAGCTCTCTCCTCTTCTAGCATCTTGCCTTTTTTTTTTTTTTTTCTTTTTTGTCAGAGTTGTTCTGCAGTTCCTTCCTGCAGCAATACCTGTAATGTCTCTGTGGTAGGATCTTGGGCTCTGGAAACTCTGGAGAGAGGACTGCAGGACCTGGTTTTAGGGATGCCCTGACATGCTTTCTCAGTAGGCATACTGGACATGGGCCTGGATGCACTAGGGGAGGTTTTTCCAGACTGGGAGGTCTGGCTGGGGCTTAGAAGCCAAAATAGGATGTGAAAGGGGAAAGAGGGAGATCTGCGCAATATCTCAGTGTCCTACAGTGTCAGTCTTCCAGCCTCATCCAAGGACTGCCTTGGGGCCCTGGGCTGTCCTCTCTGACTTAAGAAGTGCCTAAAGCCTGGGATTCCCCCTTTGTGCTCAAACACAAAGCTCCCAGGTGAGGCAGGAGCAGATCCCTGGCTGCATCTCTGGCAGGAGGGGGGAGCCAGGTGGGGGTCGGGCTCTGCTCCCAGGGATCAAGGGACAGGACCAGAGGAAATGGCCTCAAGCTGTGCCAGGGTAGGTTTAGGTTGGATATCAGGGAAAACTTCTCAGTGGGAAGGGTTGTAAAGCATTGGAGTAGGCTGTCCAGAGCAGTGGTGGAGTCACCATCCCTGGAAGTGTACAGAAAACACGTGGATGTGGCACTTAGGACGTGGTTTAGTGGTGAACAAGGTGGTGCTGCACTGATGGTTGGACCTGATGCTCTCAGAGGGCTTTTCCAGCTTTCTGTGAGTCTTGTTTTCCCCCAGCTCCTGCCTGAGGCCACCTGGCCCTGGGAAGGCCAGGCTGAGTCCCCAGGGAATACCCCTGTGTGGGGTTTTACTTCTCAGAGCCTTTGCCAGGAGCTCTAATACAAAATATTCTGCTGTTACAAACCAGTAGAGCATGAAGAAGGTCCTGGGCTCTTCTCATTCCCATGATAACTCCTGGTTTATCATGCAGGTGCAGTTTAAAGAGAATGGGTTATGTGTAAGATGGGAATTTCTTTATGAACTTTTAGCTTTGCAGGGCATTTAGTCACTGGCCCTCACTTCCAGCAGCAAGAAAACACACAGTTATCCTAATTTTTTCTCTGAATTATAATTTTTAAAC